GCCCCAGCCCCTCGGGGAGCTGCTCCTCCATGGTCTGTCAGGGCCCTCGGCCAAGAGCAGGACCGACGCCGGGACTGGTTAACCGGTTAACTGGTTAACGTTCCTCCCGGCTGCGGGGAGGACGGCAGCCTTCAGCAACTATTTCCACGCGGGGCAGCGTCACCCCGGAGGGACGGGCAGATTGCTGGATGCGCAGGGGGAAAGGCGGCCTCCCCGCGGCGCCCGGCCCCGGCCCCCACGCTCCCTCCCCAGCTCCGGGCCTCTCCGGGACTGTAACAGGAGAAGCTGTAAACAGGCGGGGAAGCGGTGCCAGGGCTCTCGGGAAGCGGTGCCAGGGCTCTCGGGAAGCGACGGCCCCTTCCAGGCCTCCTGGGGAAGATACGTCCCCACCCCTGTCCTGGGCACCACAACGGGGTCGGAGAAGGAACGACTCCCGGCCCTTCGGTTTCAGGACTGCAGGCGTGACCGCGACACCGCTGCGTGACCGCGACACCGACACCGTGGCAGGGCCAGGGATACTCTTACCGTGACATTACCCAACGTGACCAAAGCAGACCACGTGCAAGTCGAAGCGACACTAAATTAAACGCCGTCTCTACGAGGCAGCCTCAGCATTTACCACAACCCCGAGCCGACGAACAGAACAGCCCGAGCTAAACGGTGCTGGCAACCCCCCCCCCCCCCACTCCCGTCTCGGGGTCCTGTGTCCTGTGACTGGGAAAGCAGCTCTTCCCACACCCCAGAGAGCAGAAAAAGGCTCCGCAACCCCCATCCCGCCATCAAATATTGGGGGTCGCTGCGATCAATAGCCCTCCAAGCGGGAAAGAAATTCCCCGGGGCGCAGATGAACAGCAAGTTCCCACCAACCACCCTGACACGCTTTCGTGCGGGTCTCTGGTTCCTTTCAGCTTGTTAAAGCACCAACGTTTGGTCTGTCAGCCCCCCCGGGCCTAGGTCAGTCTTCCGCATCAGGGAAAACCAGGTCTTTCTGCAGCAGCCCCTGCACCGGCCCGACCTTTTCTCTCTTGCTGTGAGCGAAAGGAGAGAGGTACGAGCTCGGGAACAGACCTGGGGAGACGGAGAAGGGAAAACCGGGGGGAAAAAATGCCAACGCGCAAGGACTAGGGGTAGAAAGCGGAACATTTGCCGGGGCATCCTCCCACCGCAAGCACGTCTCCGTCCCCCAGCACAGAGACCGGCCGGCAGCGCTCCCCGACACATCTTTAGCGATGCAAAAGGCACCGGGCAACTTGAGCGTTGGCAACAGAACAGTAAGCCGGAGCAGTCGTGCTGCTCGAGCGAAGACGCTGCTCTGAAACCGTGAACCGACAGATCCCTCGGACGCCGAAACCTGCCCCGGCGCCCAACCCCTTGTTCCGCAGGGAGAGCTCCCGGCGAGCAGGAGCTGCACAAAGGCAGCGAGCTCTGCTCCTTGTGCTCCGCAAAGCTGCTGTCACCAGAGGAAGGACGCAGACACCGTGAAAGCCAGAGCTGGTGGCGGTTTTCCACCGAAGAATTGCTCGGGGAGCGGTGGTGGGGGAAGCTGGGACGATGTGCCAGCCCGCTTCGGACCAGAGCGGAAGATCTGGCAACGATGAGATGGGAAGGACTAACGCGAGCCCTTGGCGAGCAAAAGCTCAGCCTGCTTCCAAGGATCGCTTCACCCGCAGCCGGAATTTTACGGGACGCGGGCTTTCTCACCCCAGCACAGGCGGAGCCGCTCCCTTGGGCGGCGGAATAAAAGCACCCCTTAACCCAAGCTGCGGTGAAAAAGGTGTTAAAATGGGGCGTTCAACCGCGCTTTGGCACGGCAACACCCACCGGCGCCGAGAG